GTTTATTGCCATATCATCCCAGGGTTGAAACGACCTATTGATTTATTTTAGTTTTATTGCTTCATCCTATCAAAGCAGAATATTTATCGTTATGGTCAAATGTGGAAGGAAATCATGGTTTTGTCTTAACTGGGTAACTCCTACTTTCGGTGTGCACACTCATACCAAAATGTTTCCCCGTAAAATGTTAAAGCGATGCCGACCTGTTGTTGTTTAAGTCTGTGGCGCCATCTTGTACACGAGCATCATGTTCTCGCAAGAACTGATATATCTTATATTCAAGATCAGCGCCCTCATACTATATTTTTCTAGAAAAACCCCTGGAAATGTAGCAAGTGTTTCTTCTTCATATCTCTTTTTCATCTAAAATGAGTTGTATACATTTCAAACCTTGCTTTGTTAAAGGGGCGTCGACCTCGAGCATTGTTTTGTTCGGGAAGTGCGACAAGTCGAGGAGGAAGAGTTTGGTGCTCTAACATGCACAACCCAACAAACACTAGCTTTAGAGGTTTGTGAATGAGTAATGGTGGCAGCGTGGTGTCTAAATATATTGCTGTGAATGTGTTGAGCTTGCAGGTGGACAGGAGAAAAGTGACATTTTCTGCAGAAGTGTTAAGATTTCTAGCTTTAACACTTATAACGCTTTGTGCCACCTACCAAGTCAGCAGGTGATTAAACGCTGATTGTTTGGATTGTGGGTGATCACTTTAACTCCCCTCCTGTCATTACCCACAACATCTGAATACACTTGTTTTGGTGTGCAGGGCCACATCTATTTACATCCCAAATATCACCAGTAAATAGTTATATCAAGTTTTTTTCATGTCCATAAATACTACAGAATAACCAGAAAATCTATGTGCAATGTTAGAATACTTGCAGGAGATAACACATAATTGGAAGCCATTAGTGGATATAGTTTACAGAAAAACAGTGAGTTCCTATTTATATACTTAACTCCCCAGAACTAATGATGTAGCAGAACTGTGTTGAGGCTGAGGTGGAGGATGTAGCGCTGTACGCTGACTGCACCTTCATTTTACCATACTTAATAGAATCTGTTGGTGAAATTACAGAAAAGGCAGATGCGTGTGTGTGTGTAAAGTTATATAAACTATGTGCACCTGTTACTACTGTAGCCACTTGTGTATATCTGACTTGCTGTGGTGTTTGGGGGATCAGATAGCTTGTTAGCTTGGAGATGAAAGAGGAGAAAGCCTGGTGTAGTACACACTCAGTCAGAGTGGAGAACAGGCGTGGCAGTCCTCCGCAGTGTCTCTTCCCCCCCCTCCTCCTCCTCGTACGGCACCTGCATAACGACTTGTGTTAATTAGGCCGGGAAGTCAAAGCAAATACTGTCCTCCATCGATTCCTGTAATCAATCTGGACCCTTCTACCTTATCAGCTGGAGAGGCAATCAAGGGTGTCTTCTATTCAGAGACACACACACACACACACACACACACACACACACACACACACACACACACACACACACACACACACACACAATGCCAAGTACCCAGGAGTGCGTGAGCGCTTGTTATTCTGTTCTCGGCAGAACAATTGGAACGTTAGACATAGAAAAAAAGAGGACAGTCATAAAAGATATATGACTAGTTTAATTTTGGATTTTGATATAATTTTAATAGGAAATGCTGCTGCTTTTCAACCTGCATCCTATTTTAATGGAGATATGTGTGTCTAATCTCACTATATGTCACACTAAAGAGACAATATGTAAACTCATAGTTTACTTGGTTTGTCGGTGCCTTGTTTCCAGAATCGCTTCAATGGTGTGCGATTGGAAATTGTGCATTACCCATGGTGTCAACGGCCAAAATGATATGAATAAGAGACCTCAGGTGGAAAATAAATAGGAATATATTAGAGTTGATATCTGAAAACAACAAAAAAGTGTGAGATGAATATAATTGATAGCCTCCTGGTTATGTCCTCAGGAATGTGCCATACATGGGTGTGAACTCAGTAATAAGATCACCACTCGCCCTTCAGTCACTTAACATGCAGCAGACTGCCGAGTTTTTAATTTCTTTCCTCTATTTACTCCTAATTACATTCCCCCTCAGTACTTCCATCTGTCTCTGCTCAAACTCCTCGGCTGTGGCTCGTGTTCGCCGACACTTTGCTCACTGCCAGCAGAGCAGACTGTGCTGTAGCTCGTTGAGTTGGTGCCAAGTCTTCCTATGGTAGCTTTTATAAGCAATAACATGTACACATTTTTAAACTATTGTTCATTTTCTGCCACACAGACCTGTGGTGGCTTCATTTGTGTTGTCTGTTCAGCTGTTTTGAAAGTTACTTGGTTTTAAAATCAGTCACTTGTGTGGCTGAGAGTATACAGACACAGTAAATGTTAAACTGATTGTTTCTTGAAATAATTGCTATTATTCTGACACATTTTCAGTGAAACTCAAAACACCAATTTAGAATTCAGTACAAGTATTAGAAAACACACATCCTGTCTTGCCTTCTACTGGTTTATGTAATTCTTTAATAAATGTTTTAGTAATTTTCTACCACACCTCCTTCATACAGTGCAGATAATTCATGTACCGTACTTAATCGTAAATGTTACATTTAAAAAGATGGTATTTGTGCGACTTTCTTTTTCAGTGCTTTATTAAACTGTATTAAACTTAAGCCTGTTATATAATATGAGAAATCAAGCTTTTAATCAAATCTGGCCTTATTTTGTTGTTATCTCTGTGATGGGTAATTGTTCCCCTTGACTTCTTCAAGTAGGTCAAGTAAAGTAGATGGAGTCAGTCTTCATACTGCTTCCTCCCTGTAGCTGAGCCCTGTACACTACAAACCAGTGAGAAGAACCAAACTGTTCAGACTTAAGAAAAAAGTTTGTTCAGACAGACCCCATCAAGTATGAAGCCAAACTCTCCACTAACGAAAGAGCATGAACCATGGGTAAAAGTCCCAGGAAAAGCTGGTCAATGCTTGAGTTAATACTTCCAGTGAAATTAGTTACTACACTTTGTGCTTCATATTTTAAACAACTACCGTAATTTTCGGACTATAAGGCGCACCTGAATATAAGCCGCAGCAGCGGCATACCACTCTCGGTTCCACTTTTACTTTTGCGCGCTACCTGTCTCACTCTTTTCCGGCCTCCAGCTTTTCCTGCTGGAACCCGCCGCTTAAAGGTGGGGGTCCGCGGACCGGCCATAGAGCCCATAGAGTTAAAGGTGTTGGCCGTTAGCTGTAAAAATCCATAGATTAGCCGCACCGTTATATAAACCGCAGCGTCGAAAAATAGGGAAAAAGGCGCGGCTTATAGTCCGAAAATTACGGTAATAACAAATTCATTTTGGCTAAAGATGCTTAATGTTGTGTTGAGAAGGTGCAAGGAAAAAGCAGACCCTAACAAGTCTAATGGCCCCTACACACGGCGGCGTGCGTGTCTTGAGCTTGGGGAGTTTACGCGAGCAACGCAACCAACGACCAATCACATGAATCTCATGTTATTATATAATTACATTTAAAACTTTATATGATGAACATTTATGACATTAATGTCTATGGTGCTATTTTACGCAACATTCCATGCTGACTAAAAATACTGTCTATGCCTGCTAGCTGTCCATTCAAATGAAGTACACTGGATATAAACTCCACAAACAGGCGGAAACCTACCAGTTTCACCCACTGTCTCTGCCACCTCCCTCCATAACTGGCTCTTCCGTTTTGTATCCCGGTAGCTGAACAGGGACTGATCATAAAGCACCGGGTGATTCCCCACCGCTACGATTATTTTCTCGAAATGAACTGCGGTCTGGCTCTACCAGCATACACGCGGTTTCATTGGCTAGCGCTTGTACCGGCAGATTTGCATAAGCGGGATTTGATTGGCTGACGCCTCCGTCGAAGCTTCAAAAGTAGAACATTGCTCTACTTTTGCAGCGAGCACCGCGAGAAAAGATACGCTTTGCTCCCACAATGCAGTTCGGCGAAGCGTTGAAACGTCAACGCACGCCGCCGTGTGTAGGGGCCGTAAGTTTGGTCATCCATGGCAACCTTTTAAAACCATAACTACATGTTTTGCTGCAATGTGAAGTCATTTAGCAAGGGGCTACAGAGAACTACCAGGTAGACTGATTCGTCACAGAGTTTGGTGTGTGCTCAGGGATCATTGCGACAGAGAATAAAATGATAATTTCCCAGAGTTGTCCAATCCTGCTTTTGTACTGCAGTAAAAAAATCCTTTTCAGTGTTTATCTGTCTGATGAGCCTCCATTCTCATGGATCTATTACTCAAACTGGCCTTCCCACAGTAGATCATATTTAATCAGCTATTTGGTGCCTGAAGCAACATGGCTATTTCTGTCTTTAGGCCTGTTGACAGTCATAATGACACAGCAAAATTAAGCTCTCGGGAAACGGTTTCCCGCTGCGACTCAGGAGCTGATCTCATGCCAGCAGCACCTGTTTTGTACCCTGAGTCTCTCTGGGCGTGTAATATTTGATCAATACTGTTTTGGCTCCATCTGCTCATCAAGCTGTGGGTTCATGTCGTCTTACAACTCCTATTTTTATTTCAATGTGTTGATTACAAATTGATGGTGACAATATGGTTGGTGTTGTCACTCTAGAGGCTCATGCTGGCCGGCTCGGTGAGATGTGTCTCTGTTTGACTTGATAAAGAAAAGTGTCTGCTCTCAGGGGGCGGTACAGATTTGCTGATTGTGCGGTCTTCAAGGCTGCGAGCGGGGACAGGACGAGGCTGTGACAAATCATATCAGAGATGTTGTCACGGTCTAAGTGTGAATGTGATTTATTTGTAGCTGGATCATTTCCAAGTCCCCCTCAGAGGGGTTTATCACAGGGTCAGAGCTGTGAAGAGTTGCAAGAAAATAATGATCCAATTTCACTGACCGACGCCCAGCAGCAGCTTTTGTTGGTTTATGATTTCTCAAAGATGTTGATTTAGCCAACTTTCTCTAAACTTGTTGTCCTTTCTTTTACAGCTGAAACTTGAAGATCGATCCATCGTCATCAGAGATATCGTGCGACGAAACAACTCAAATGTAAGTCGAGGTTCTTCCAAAGTTCTCACTTTTCGCCTCACCCTTCTGTCTTTCTTGTTATTTCTCTGTTCCTTTCAATCAAGCCTCTCTTTGTCAGTCATGTCACTGCTCACCGCTCTGTTCCATTTGCTGCATCAGACATGACTGGAATATTGTTGCAGCTCCACCCTTACAAAGAGGTTTTCTGTGTTAACGCGGTGCAACGACTCCTGCTCTGAATACAAATGCAACATCTTTTCTTTTGGTTGAAATTCAAGAGTTGTCTTGTTCACATACCGTCAATCCAGTGTTGCGTATGGAGCTCAGTAAAAAGAAATAGGCAATCTATTTCTATGGCTTGAAGCTTATAAGCAATAATCAAGTGTTGCTGTTGATGAACAGGATACTGTAGCAGAGAGATGATCGTTCATATGATGATGTACTGAACTTATGAATGTTTCATTGCAGGATAACCAGTGTGGTATTGTGACCAACATTGACATCGAGTGTGCGGTGAAACTGGTGGGAACAAACTGTGTTCTATATCCAGTGAACAGCAGAGACCTGCAGCACATCTGGGTAAGACTTTTGACTGCAGGGTCTTAATACTCACACACAGGAACTAGAAATACATGCAAGATGATGCTTCATTTTACAGCTCCATTACTTCCTGAAAATAACTGTCTATAAATTGCACACCTTCATACATAGAGGTGATGATGAGTCAGAGTAACAAGAATCAGCTTCAACACACTGTCAGCACTTAGGGTTGATTAATACAAAAGACTGCATTTAACACAGCGACAGTAACAAATGCCTGATGACGACAATGTAGTTCTTTGCAGTACATTACTTTTTTTTAAAAGGAAATAAAGCTTTAACAAATAAAAAAATTTGACATTAAAACTAATGCTTTTAATTGACACATAGCAGTAAGTGATTAGTATGTACACATTCAGTGTAACTGATAATACTTTTATTAAATATGAAATATAATATGTTCTTGTCCCCGATTGTGTTTTTCTAGTCTTTTATGTATGGAGATTACATCGCCTACGACTTCTGGCTGGGGAAAGTGTACGACCTGACTAATCACATCATCCTCAAGCTCTCCAACGGAGCAAGGTAGACAGAGAGTGTGTGTCTCTGCATGTCTCTGTGTGTGTGTGTGTGTGTGTCTGCGTGTTTCTGTGTGTCTCTGTGTGTGTCTGGATGTCTTTGTGTGTCTCTGCATGTGTCTCTGCGTGTGTCTCTGCGTGTGTCTGCATGTGTCTGTGTGTGTGTGTCTGTGTCTCTGCATGTGTGTGAGTGTCTGTGTCTTTGATTAAACAGCGTGTTCTGTGTCCATGTTGAAGTGTGTTGGCATGTCTGCTTGCTGGCACACATCCGTCAGTGCCAGATCCAGTGAACGTCAGCCTGTCTCCTCTCTCCCTCCAGGTGCTCCATGAGTGTGGAGGACGGAGCGAAGCTTTACGACGTCTGTCCACATGTCAGTGACTCGGTGAGTAGCCATGAGCTCCTGTCTGTCACCTCGGGTACATCCGCCATTTACAGAGCCGCTGTTAGTCAGGGATCAGATCACTCTCAAAAGAGCCGCTTCATGGTCTGTAAATGATTCTTATTATATTATTTTATGGGTGCAATTTGTTTTTTGTGACATATATTTGCATGTGTGTAGAACAAGAACAAGAGAAAGTACTGTAAGCGTTGCCACTTCCTACTTTAAGATTATTGTTATGTTTTTAACACTCAGTAATGTACAGTTCTAAAAACAATAATTCATATAATATACGGTACATCAATATCGATAAGAATAATGGATGCAAAGAAAGATGAGCAATGAGAAAAACAATACATATAAACATAGCATACTAGAAGCACTTGGAATATAATTATACAGGAAGGAAATGTTCAGGTATTGAATACACCC